CTCTCTCGCTCGCTCTCGCTCTTTCCGCAATCGTTGCGAGGTATCGATCACGTTCACGGGGCCTGGATCGGGCCGGGCCGGGGCTGCGCCTGCAACACGAGTCCACGCCGCAAATACATCGTGTTTACAACGGCGCGGTGCCCGGCCCCGGTCCCGGCCGGGACAAGCGTCGCGCTGCCAGCCGCGCCAGCCGCGTACATGCAGCACCCCGCCCAGGCCGAGCCCCGTGGGGCGGGACGCCCCGGGCGCAGCGCGCACTCTCGCGTCCGCCCTGCCGACAGTGAGCGACTTAGTGTGGTCGGGGTGACCCCCGCGGTGACCCCGGCCGAGGCCCGGGTGGTGACCCCGCGCGGTTGTTGCAGACCGGACTAGGCCGGGCGGGGCGTGAACCCCATCATGCGAGCCGGCAGTTTATTAAACTGCTTTCACCGGGCCGGAGCTGGACTTGGACCGCCGTGCGTCGCGTCGCTACTAATCCCCCCCCCCCCCGGCCCTGTCCCACTGCGGGGTGAAGCCGATCGACTTACATTTATCTATCTCTCTCACTCTGTGTCTGTCGGTCTGCCAGCGCCAGCAAACGCTATAGTAGCCCAGCCGGGGCGGATGCAGCCTCTCGGGTGGGCCGGGCAGCAGCGCTGGGCGCCGCCAGGTCGCGGGGCTGTGGAGCTGCGAACAACAAACACGCCAAAAGATATTTGAGCCGGGCCCGGTCTCGCTTGGCTCGGCTCGGCCCGGCTGTGACCCCGTTCGCTCTCTGCGTCTCTCGGCAGATGATGAGTCGGGAGCACGAAGTATGAACGAGAGTGTGTCGCTCTTGTCCAGTCACGACCCCATCCTGCGCTGCGGCAAGCCGCACCGCATCCCCGCCCCGCGCACCCCCCCGCCCGCCCGCACCCTGACGCTCAGGCCGGTGCGGGGCACGGTGGAGGTGGTGCGGGGGCAGAGGGGGGCACTCGTCCCTTGAGCACGACAGTTTAGCTTTAGCTGGGGTCAGCAGGCAGCAGCAGCAGCAGCCTGGTGGCGACAGCGCTTATAGCTCCAGTTACAGCGGGGGTGGGCGCAACACCAGCCTTTGGAGAGGGGGGGGGGGCAATTATCAGCCATTACATCGGGCAAACAGAGCTGTGGCAGTTGTACGTATCACTGCTGCAGCAAGGACGAGTGATTCTCGTCGTCCCCTGTAGCACCTCATCGCGCGTCGGACTGGACACTGGCATTGCGCGGCCCGCCCGCCTCAACTCCAATAAAGGCTCACGGCTGCGGCTGGCTGGAGGTAATGTGCGATTGATGACGGCTCGGGTATTTCGCGGTGGCCGCCCCGCCAGCCCCGCCCCACCCCGCCCGTCGCACCCCGCTACACTCCACCTGAAACGGCTGAGGCGGCGCAGCCTTTGTCGCCGACCTTGGTCCCGGATCGAGCTGCTGCGCGGGCCGGCCGGCTGCGGCCGCGCGACCCATTTCTCAGAGAGTCACACGAGGATGACGGCCTGCGGAGCCACCCCGCACGCCACTCCTGTACAAGAGCGCCGGCAGCGGGCGCGAAGCGAAACGGGCCCACGCGGATACTCGGCGGGGGCGGGGGGTGGAAGGACCTGACCGTGGCGCTGTTCAGAGACCGCTGTTTATCAAACCAGTCTCGTTGCCCTGACCGGTCAGGTGGCGGCGGTGCTGCTGGTGAAAGGAGCGGGTCATTGCTGCGCCCGGAGTCCCTCCGCTCCTCGCAGGGCCCAACAGAATCCCATTCCGGGTGGGAAACCGTATGAGGGGAGCTGCCTGGACCGCGGCGCTCATGGCCTCGCCAGAGAAGAGACTTATGGCGGCCCATAGTCATGATGGGACGGGGTTTACGGCGGCCAATCCGGCCGGGTTTGGATCCCATGGCGGCGAGGCGGGGGAGGAGGAGAAGGAGGAGGAGCCCCACCGGACGGCCGTTGAGCCCGGCGCAAAAACAAAGCAGCACCTCCTCCGGCACGCCTAAAGGCACGCCGCGGAGCAGGGCTCTGCTCCAACGCGCCGTGAAATGCAACGTGAATGTCAATCCGATTTCGGACGGAACGGGCGAGGGGAGGGGGGGCAGATAGCATCGGGGTTACTCGTGCGTTGAGAGCCACGCCACAAGCCGGGCTGCGCACGATTCTGATGGGGGTGGGGGCCGGGGAGACGATACGCCTGCCGCCGGCCCGGCCCGGCCGTGTTTGTTTGTGGGCTGCTCTGCATTAGCTCTGAGTGATTGCAGCGAGTGAATCGGGTGGCCCCTCGCTAACGGTGTCGGTCGCGAACAGGCCGCGGCAGGACACGGCACGGCGGGACACGACGGGCAGCTCGCTAATTGGAGCATTCGTGTCTCCCCGCCGCCGGTCCAGCTGCTGCCGGCCTGCCGCTGCTGCCGGCCTGCTGCAGCCGCTGCTGCTGCCGGGCTAAGAAGCTGCTGTGCTACTGCGCGCGCCAATTAGAAATGCAATCACGAAAATCATTACCCCGGCTGATCCAAATGCCTGGGCTGGGCGCGAGGCGGCGTGGCGCGGCAACTGGGGGGGATGGGGGCAGCACCGCGGCGCCGCGACGAGGGTCGTTACGGAAACTAACGGATCGGAGGCGGCCGTCCGAGGAGGACGAGAGGACGCGGGTAAAAAAGGGAGAGAGGGGAAAGAGACATGGAGAGGGAAGGACTATCCACGAAGAGAGAGAGAGAGAGAGTAGTGTAAGTAGGGGTGGAGATAGAGGCGCACGTAACCGTTGACGTGAATGCTCGGTGCTCAGCCCTCTTGTCCGCTGTGTCTGTCGGTGGCGCGGCTGCGCGGCGCTGGTGCCACGCCCGGGCTTACCGTTCGGCTCGCGAGGCGTCAGCGCGGGAGGGCGTCGTCGCGGTCGCACACTTCCGCCCGCATCACGCGCACCGCAGCGGGAGTTCGGAGGGGGTTGGGGGGGGGGGCAGGAGAAGGACGAGAAGAAGAGAACACTACGGCGCGGCCACCAGCCGTCCCGGCTCATATCGTCTGCAGCCTTTTAAGGTGCGGGGTTGCTGCTGCTGCTGCCATAGACACGAGGCGGTGATCCGTAGCGGCCGAGCCAAGTCGAGTCGAGTCGGCGTGCGCTAGAATGAGGTCTCGGAGAGCAACCTGTCGAGCCGGGCGGTGCCTGGGCGGTAGGTGCGGCCCGTGCCCGCGGTGCCCGCCCCCCGGCTCCTTCCGGGCGCCCCTACCTGTCGGGGGTTCGACTCCCGCCCAGGATGCCGCCCGGGGCCTAGAGATGCCCCCCCCCCCTGCTGCTTGGAATGCCCTGGCGCGCCTCCTCGGCCTCGGCCCGTGGGTATCACGAACATGGAGAGACACCCTCTGCCCCCTCCCCCCTCTCCCAACACTCCTCCTCGCCCTCCTGCTCCTCCTCGAGTTGATCCGTATCTCGGTGCGATCGCAGTGCCATCCCCCGTCCCCTCGCGTCACGTACTCGAGGCCCACCACCACGGGGCCCCACATGTGAGCGTGCGCCCGCCCCTGTGTGTGTGTGTGTGTGTGTGTGTGTGTGTGTGTGTGTGTGCGTGTGTGCACGTGTGGTCAGTGGCGCTCATGTGAACACGCCGGGCCGGGCCGCGGCCGCAGGGCAGATGGGTCCGCGCGTATCAGATCCGCGGTGCTCCGCGGGGCACGCGCGACCCGGCCAATCCATACCTGTATAGAGCGACCGCGCAGCTCGCTCCGGACTCGTTCTGCTCGCTGTCGATGTATCGTTTTGTGTGTCGTTGTTGTGTTTTTTTTGTGTGTGTGTTTGTGCGCACGAGGCTATTGGATTGCATCGTCTGTTGCAGGGCCATGACCAGAATGTAAACGCGGCCCTCGCAGCGGCGGCGACGAGGAGGGCCTCGAGGACAGCGGCGGCGAGAGGGAGGCCCCGTCGGCAGCAGGACCAACGACGGTGAGTAGCTCTGCGTCCTGGCCAAGCACGCACCGCCACTAGGACCGCGTGTCTGTGCCAGGCGGTCTGTGCCAGGTGTCTGATTCAACCCATCCACTTCCGCCCTGGAAGCGCAAGTGTGTAATGCCGCACACTTTAGGTGCGTGACCGGCACATTCGGGCACATTCGTACTACACTCAAGGGGGTAAAAGTTTGAATTCTCCTCTGAAATTTACACAATTGTGCCTCCACGTGCACTTCGTTCATATACCGGGTATCCGGGAGGTGGAGGTGGCGGGAGGCGGCCGGTTGCCTCTCGCCACCTCTTCCGCTCCCCTCTCGCCTGCACGCCAGTCCGTAGGCAACCCATCGAGCTGCCGCGTACTCTCCCGTGGACACCCGGTTCACCTGCAAGCGTGTGACATCGGGTTTCTAGTGTGTGGTTAGGCTGCAGCCCATATAATAGAGCGTGCAGGCGTGCGGGCGCGTTGCCTACGCTCGGACTTCAGGCAGGTGTCACGGTGAGGACGAGGCGCCTCAGACCTTCGGTGCAGGGGCCGGTGGCACCCCGTCAGCGGCGGAGGCGGCCGCTGCTCTCGCACTCTCGGCGCCGTCCGTTCCGGTGTATACTTACTTAGAAGGCGGAGGGGAGGGTGTGTTCAGTTAGGCGCCCGCCGCCGCCCGCTGCCGCCCGTTATGTTTGCATACGCTGATTCGATAAGGCGCGCTGCCTTCCCTTCCCTCGCCGCCCAGAGGAGCCGGCATACGTGATTTAGAGGAGCCGATAAAATGGGGGCATACCAGTCTTTGCGC